CAAAAAAAAAAAGGCTGGGGCTATATCTCAGTGGCGAAACATCCCTCAGTTCAATCCCCAGTACCAAAAAGTAAGAAAGAAAGAGATATCAGCAAGGGGGTTCAAGGCAAATCTAAAGGAATTAAGCGGACAAAAGGAGAAAGAGGACCCAGAAAAGAAATGGGCAGGCACACAGAGAAGTAGGGAAAACAGTTCTATCACTTTCTTTTAAGCTTTTTTGACCAAAATGTATATCAGATTTGTGATTGCTATTTCTTGGTAATTCCTGGAAAGAATGACATTTTTACAAGTTATAAATGACATTTGGGACAATGCACAAAGCACCATAATATTGATTTGCTTGGTAATTACTCTTGGATGTCAGAACTTCCTTTTTCTTTTCTTTTCTTTTTTTTTTTGGGGGTGCGGGGGGCGGGTGGAAGATACCAGGGATTGAACTCAGGGGCACTCCACCACTGAGTCACATCCCCAGCCCTATTTTGTATTTTATTTAGAGACAGGGTCTCACTGAGTTGCTAAGGGCCTTGCTTTTGCTGAGGCTGGCTTTGAACTTGCCATCCTCCTGCCTCAGCCTCATGAGCCACTGGGATTATAGGCATGTGCCACTACATTTGGCTCCAACTTCCTTTTTCTATATGTAGGGGACAACTTTGGCACAGCCCTCACAAACATGAAGCCATTCATAGAACCTAATTTGTCACTCCATGTCCGTTCATTCACTCAGACATTCAAGACACAGGTTGAGTGGCCCTTATCTGAAATATTTGAGACCAGAGGATGTTCTGGGTTTTGAATTTTTTCAGATTTTGTATGGTTTCCTGTACATAATGAAATATCCTGGAGATGAGACCCAAATCTAAATTAAAAACTTATTTGTGTTTCATACACACCTTATACATGTAGCCCAAAGGTAATTTTATACACAATAACTTTGTGCATGAAACAGTTTCATGGTGTTGAATTTTCTGTATCATCATGGTGCTCAGAAAGCTTTGGATTTTGGAGTATTTCAGATTTCAGAATTTTGGATTTAGGGATACACAACCTGTAATAAATTAATTATAAATATAGCTGGTCAATTAAAATAAGAATATTTTGGGCTGGGGATGTGGCTCAAGCAGTAGCGCACTTGCCTGGCATGCGTGTGGCCCGGGTTCGATCCTCAGCACCACATACAAACAAAGATGTTGTGTCCTCCGAAAAAATTAAAAAATAAATATTAAAATTCTCTCTCTCTCTCTCAAAAAAAAAATAATAAAATAAGAATATTTTAAATATTAAAATAAATATGCAGGTGCAGTGGCACATACCTGTAATCCTAGCAACTGCAAAGCCAGATATGAGGGTCACAAGTTTGAAGTTACTCTCAGCTACTCACTGAGGCCCTAAACATCTTAGTGAGACTAGTGAGACCCTGTCTTAAAAAGGGCTGGGGATATAGCTCAGTGATAAAGTGCCTCTAGGTTAAATCCCTAGTACAAATAAAATAAAATAAAAAGGTGACCGATTAAGAGCATAGAGTAGCTAGGTGTAATAACACACACCTGTAATCCTAGTAACTCAGGAGGCTGAGGCAGGAGGATTGCAAGTTTGAGACTAGGCTTGGCAATTTGACAAGACTCTGTCTCAAAATAAAAAAAAAATCAAAGGGGCTGGGGATGTGGCTCAGTGGTTAAGGGCCCCAAGGTTCAATCCCTGGTACCAAAAAAAAAAAAAAAAAAAGAAGAAAAAAGAAAAAAAATACTGTGCATGTAATTATTCATTAACTACATTTGTTATCCAACAACAAAAAAAATTAAATACCTTAACGCACTATTAATTTCCATATCCAGATCCATTTTTATTTCTATTTGCCTGTGGAATTGTTCTCTCTTTGCCCTTATTTTTCCCCACTTTGTGGAGCCTCTGTTTCTTCAACTTGAATAGTGATGGTGGTAGTGGAAATAAAATTGGTGGGCGATTCCTGAGGCAGAGATAGTGAAGATGGTGGTACTGCCCATGGAGGAGGCTTTCCTGACTTGATGTTAGAGCTTCCAGTGTGGAATGTTTACTGCATCACTGGAACCTCAGTCACAGCTCTCTTTGTGATTCAGAAGGACGGTGAAGCAACAGATCACAAGTTATAAATTTGCCTTTGGAATTTCTAAAGGAAGGAGCATTCATTAAATGTACTGTCTCATGCTAGGCATAGTGGTGCACACTGTATCCCAGCAACTTGGGAGGCTGAGGCAGGAAGATTGCTGGCTGGAAGCCAGCCTCAGCAATTTAGTGAGGCTCTAAGCAACTAAGCAAGACCCTGTCTCAAAATCATATATATATATATATATATATAAAACAAAAAAGGCTGGGATGTGGCTCAGTGGTTAGGCACCCCTGAGTTCAATCCTGATACCAAAATAAATAAATAAATAAGAAAAAAAAAAAAGAAAAAGAAAAGGAGGACTAGGGATATAGCTCAGTTGGTAGAGTGCTTACCTCACATGCACAAGGCCCTGGGTTCAATCCCTAGCACCACGGAAAAAAATAAAAGGAGCTTGCTACCATGCTATCATTTCCTCCAGAATCTTCTATCATCACCTGTGTTAGCTGGAAATTATGTTTCCCAGGAATCCCTCTTCCTCTGTGGTTCCAGGTTAGAATCCTTCAAGGAAAGAATCCATATGAGATTTTTGGGGACATCATATCTGAATGCTGTCATCATCCTATGCGTTTACTCATAGATACAGTAGGGTCTGGCAGGTTTCAGCTTGTCCTCTGCTCCCCATTACCCTGCCTCTGGCTTTTCCTCCAAACTGCAGACATTGTTAATCAACAGCAGCCCAGGCTTATCAGCCCACAACTGCCTGTGGACCCACAGAGGCAAACTCTTCCTCTAGATTTCACTGTTAGCCACTCCTTCCTGGTCCTAGTAGAAGCTAGACACCCCTGGCTTTTCAGCCTGACTGGGTTAAGGACTTCTCTGATCCTCCAAGCCTTCTTTCCAGATATTCAAAAGCCCAGTTTTCCCACCAAATGTATATGGTCTGATTTTAAAAATAAATCCTTAATTCCATGACCCCTAGAGTTCTGCAGTGCTGACGGAACCCTACTGATACAGGTACCACCCCCACTCTGCCCCGCCCAATTCTTCCTCTCAGGATATACACAGTCACCAAACCTGTCAGACCTCTCTCCGTAACATCCCTCTACTCATCCATTCTCACCATCCCAGGCACTGAAATAGCCTTCTCAGATTGCTACCTGCCTTCCACTTCTCTACCTACCTCTAGTCTGGTTCCCCTCCTTAGAGCAATGGGAAGTGATCCCCTAAGGCCCATTACTGGCCTCCTCTTCTTTTTTGTATAAAATTGGTGTTTGACAAAGCTCTGCCTCTTTCGGCTTCTGCTAGCTCCTCCAGCTTCTTGGCTTCATTGTTCTCTCCATCCATGCCCATGTGTAGTCATTAGACAAATCTTGGCCAGTTTGATAGGATATGGCATTGGACTATTTTAATCTGCTCTTCTTATTCACTGAGGTTTGAGTTCCCCCAGATATTCAGTTTCTGTATATTTATTTCTAGCAGCTGCCTCATCCCGAGGCCACAGTAGGCATGGGAAGGACTTGAGACCTCTCCTTCAAGCTGGTGCTGAGACATGAAGGCTTTAGCTCCTAGGGTGGGTCAGGTGACTCAAAGGCCAGTTGCAGTCCTCATATCTCACCTCCACATGCAGCTCCCCGGCCAGATGGTGATTGGAGTAGAATGAGAATCTCTTATAGAAGTTAACTTATCACTCAATGTTGAATTCTCCCTGCAAAGACAAAAATAGAGAACAAGTAGTCCTGAAATACTTCCCAAGAACCAGGGTAGGTTATCTCTATGTGAAATCCCAACAGCTTATTTTCTTTCAGAATTATATTTATTGCGTGTAAATTTTGTCTACCTACTAAGTGATTATTTTATTTGTGTTATTCATTTTATTGAAAATTAAGCCTGGGGGTGGGGCATGGGATGAATGGAGGAATTTTGGATTGGGCAAGGGGGGGAGGGGCATGGGGTTAGGAAAGATGGTGGAATGAGACAGACATTATTACCCTTGGTACATATATGATTGCACACAGGGTGTGCAACTAGAGAAGTGAAAAATGGTGCTCCATTTGTGTACAATGAATCAAAGTGCATTCTGTTGTCATGTATATAATTAGAACAACAACAAAAAAAAAAGTAAGCCAGGCTTGTTGGGGCACACCTGTAATCCCAGCAACTGGGGAGGCTGAGGCAGGAGGACCACCTAGCCATAAGAAGACCCTTCTCTCAAAACAAACAGACAATCAAAACACCTGACAGGGGTTGAGGATATAACTCAGTTGGTAGAGTGCTTGCCTAGCATTCACAAGGCCCTGGTTTCAATCCCCATTACCATTAAAAAAAAAAAAAAAACCTTACAGATCTGGTGACATAGGCCTATAATCCCAATTACTGGGGAGGCTAAGGCAGGAGGATCCAAATTCGAGGCCAGCCTGAGCAATTTAGTAAGACCTTGTCTCAATAGAAAATAATTAAAAGGGCTGGGGATGTATCCCAGTGGTCGAGTGCTTGCCTAGCATGTCCAAAACCCTGAATTTGAGCCCCGGCAGCACAAACAAACAAATAAACAAAAAGTTTGAAAAAATAATGCATGTAAAAAGTACAAAACTCTACCAAGAAGATTAAAAAAAAAATTCACCTGTTCTTGGATTTAATAAGGATGAATGTTACCATAAAAGAGGCCAAAGAAAATCACTCACAAGGAGGAAGCTGGGGATATAGCTCAGTTGGTAGACTGCTTGCCTTCCATGTACAAGGCCATGGGTTCAATCCCCAGCAGGACCAAAGAGAGAAAACAAAAGAGAGACTTTTCCACAAGAAGATGTTCACAATTCATATAATTAACAAAGCATTTGAATCCAGAATATGTAAAGTCATAAATACTTTGTACAAATTAATAATAAAAAGATAAACACTCCCTTTTTCCCCAAAGGCAGAAGACTTGAGAGAGACCTCACAAGAGGAAATTATTAATCAATAAACATGACAAATTACTCTATCTCAATAAGAATCAGGAAAAAATGCAGATTTATCACATCTACCACATTGGCACAATGCACCTTGAGTCTAACTATTCAAATCTGGGTGAGGATGTGAAAGTCATGAGAATTCTTATGCAGCACATTACTGATGAGGTAAAAAGAAATCAATGTAGTCCTGCCAGAAAACAACCTAACATTGCCCCAACTTATAAATTGAAGATGGTCCTATCTCAAAGATCTGCAAACTATGGCCCCTGGGCCAGTATGTTCCATCACTTGCTTTATTTTTTTATTTTATTGTGAGATGGAGTCTTATTAATTGTCCTGGGATGCCCTCAAACTTGGGATCCTCCTGCCTCAGCCTCCTAAGTAGCTGGGATCACAGTTTTGCACCACCACACTGGATTCCACTACCTATTTTCTTTTGCTTTTATTTTCTACCATTTATTTTTATACAGCCTACAAGCTAAGAATGACTCTTAGATTTTAATTTTTATTTATTTATTTATTTGCAGTACTCATGATTGAACCCTGGGGTATGCTACCACTGACAATATTCCAGCTGTTTTTATTTTTTATTTTGAAACATTAAGTTGCCCGGGTGGGTCTTGAACTTGTGATCCTCCTGCCTCCAACACCCAAGAACCTGGGGTTAAAAGTGTGTGCTGCCATGCCCAGCAATTTGTAGATTTTTAAATAGTGGGAACAAATCAGAATTATGATAGCCTATGATGTGAAAACTATAAAATTCACATAGGACTGGTTATAAATTTTTTAAATTTATTTTTTAGTTGTAGTTGAACACAATATCTTAATTTTATTTATTTATTTATTTTATGTGGTGCTGAGGATCAAACCCAGGGCCTCATATGCCAGGCAAGCGCTCTACCACTGAGCCACAACCCCAGACCCCTGGTTATAAAATTTTATTGGAAAAAAATTTATTGGACCCAGGCATGCTGGCACACGCTTGTAATCCCAGCAGCTCGGGAGGCTGAGATGGAGGATCGTGAGTTCAAAGCCAGCCTCAGCAAAGCGAGGTGCTAAGCAACTCAGTGAGACTCTGTCTCTAAATAAAATACAATGTAGGGCTGGGGATGTGGCTCAGTGGTCTAGTGTCCCTGAGTTCAATCCCAGGTACTAAAAAAAAAAAAAATTGTTGGAACAACAATCACACCCATTCATATATGTACAGTCTGTGGCTGCTTTTTTAGTGTAACAGAACCAGTGGTTCAGGAGGCTGAAGCAGAAGGATTGCAAGTTTTAGGCCAGCATCAGCAACTTAATCAGACTCTGTCTCAAAATAAAAAAAATAAAAAGGGCTGGGGATGGAACTGGGGTTGTAGCTCAGAGGTAAGAGTACTCACCTAGCACATGTGAGGCCCTGGGTTCCATCCTCAGCACCACATAAAAATAAACAAAATAAAGGTATTGTGTCCCAACTAAAACTAAAAAATAAATATTTAAAAAAAAAAGAGCTGGGGATATAGTTCAGTTAGTAGAGTGCTTGCCTTGCATGCACAAGGCCCTGGGTTCAATCCCCAGTAACACACACACACACACACACAAAAAAAATACATGTGTGTGTGTGTGTATGTATGTGTGTATATATATGAATGAAATGTGGCCAGACTAAATAATATTGAACACCAACCTCCCCAGTGTTGAACACCAGCCTCCTCAGTAAGCTGTCCTTGTTCTGCTTGAAACCACCTGTTAAATTCAAATTTCCTAGGTGTCCCACAAGTATGATTATAAAAGCTGAGGCTGCAGGCACCAGCCTATGTGGAAGAGAGTTATATTTAGTATTACTTCAGGAGCTTGTCTCTTTGGACATCACCAAGACTCTAGTACAGAATGTTACTGTTTGAGAGCTTCTGGGCCCATGGCAGAGAAAAGGGTGTGGGTGGTTTT